GCGTGATGTATACAACTTCCTCACTTCACGAGTGATGTAAAGTTGAAAAAAAACTCACTCGGTGGGGTAATGAAACCCATTTAAATAACATTGAGTGGATAACTTAAAAAAATATATCTCTATGGAGCCAACGACGTTCAACGCTAGAAATCAGCTGTTTGCTTGAATTTTATTGTTATGCTTTGAAGAATTTTCCTAACCTAGCTTTTGTTTGTAAATGAATGTTACTGTTAGAAGATGAGTGAAATGGATAATGAAGCATAATGCTCGTAGCCTCCTGTATATTGTCGGGTCAGGTAAAATCTTATACGTTACACATTACGCAAGAGCGTGTTTACATCACTTCGGTGAATTATGCAACTCGCTTTTGCTCGTTGCACAACATTCACCTGCGTGATGTAAAAACGCTCTTACTACACTTGTAATGTAAATAGCTATTAACCATTGTGGAAAGTAACTTTCAACTTCAGGCCTACCTTAGGGCTATGCCTCATAGATCTAGGCCTATAAAGCGTTTTTTAGTTTAATCATTGAATTTAACATATTGACCAACACGATCCGGGTGACATTTAATTGAGAAGCATTTGTTTTGGCTTGAAACTGTCAGATACTGTTTTTGCAAAGGTTTATAGTTTTGCCAGCATATCTGAAAATATGCAAACCAACTGCTGTTCTTAATATAAGAAGGTGTATCACGACCGTCTATAGTTTTCATGACAATAATAATTATAATTAGGAATGAACTATATTGATAACATTTTATTTGAACATGTCTTTTGTAAGAAGTCTATAACACTATTAACAATATTTGTTTACATCTGATCATAATATAATACTAGTGGAACCCCGTCGAAATCGACGGTTAATCTTGAGGTTTTATGTAAATTCAGCTAACTGCGATGGATAGAGTAAAGCATTAAAATCTTAGTTAAATGAAGGGAGGATAAGCAATAATAAGGATGACGATTGTGTTCCCTAAAAACGTGATTGATGAATTCGTTTAATACAATATTTCCCACCTTTTTATCGGCTTTAGGTTGCCCAAAAGGTTTTTTAGGAGTCTTATAATTGTTTGTTCATGAGTTTGTTTCATGCCAAAGCCACTTTCACTATATGGGAGAATGAGTTCATATAATTAGTCTATCATGTTACGGAAAGAGTCAATATTTATTACTAACCACTAATTCCATCTGCTTTAGGAAAATCATTCAGATTGTATCCGGATTTATAAGTAAATCTTCATCTTTGGTCATAAAAATACAGAATTCTATCAGCATATTAAATCAGTTTTTTTTGTATTTGATAAAAATATCTGATTCTCCAGAAAGCACTCCAAAGCAGTAACATTCTTACTTCGATCTCAGCAATTTTAATTCCTTCTCTTGCCACATCGACCCATGTATTTAATCATCCTGTTCTTACTTGATAATTCATTAGCTTATGGGGTAGTTTTGCCTTGGCCATATCGATCACATAAAGCTGTGCATGTATTTCGTGGATGGAATGAACCATATTTGTAGGAAATTCGATCACAAATCTTGAACATTTGCGGAACCAAATCCATAACCTAGTCCAGCCTTGGTAACAAATTATGCAAATGCTATGAGATGTGATGACACTGTTGTGTTTCCAAATGTTTTGTATGTAGTGAGGTTTAGATGCGTTGTTCGACCTAGCTACATGTGTACATCAAAGTAAAAACCGTGAACACATTTTTTTTTAATACCTGAATTGACATTAGTTCACCTACTTCACCAAAACCATAGATGAAACATACTCCGTAGTTAGTCTATTCCAAAACTTGACACACAGCTCTCATCCTCAACGGACTCATCTATGACACAATTTTCAACCCGATTATCAAAAACTTTTATACCAATAAATGAATCTCTGATGTTCTTTCTTGAATTTAAAAATAAATGGAGATTGAAAGTAGGAAAAAAAGGCAAGTGCCAACCTTACAATATATATAAGCTAACCTGATAAGGAATAATTATATGTTCCTTTGAAATTGATATATCACACTTATTTCATAATTTGAAATTTTCTAAGAGCAATAAAGCATAGATTTTGGAACAAAACATTTAAAACGTATCATAAATTCATCATTTTGTTGAAACTATAAAAAACTTGCCATGCAGTGGAGAATCCATTTAAAATCATAAATAATAATGTAAACATTTAATTTTGACAGTTTCAGTAGACCTTTGAATACAATTTTAATATTAACAGCTGGTTCATTAAAAGTAGTGTAAAATTATCCATATGGTCGTAATGTAAACAAAATTGCAGAGAGAACTTTAAAGGCCTCTGGGACAGAGCCCCAAGGAAATTTACATCGTTTCTCTTTTGAGGGCTCACCTACAGACCAAGACCTTTCTTTGGATACCCCTACCAAGTTTCTACGCCCAGCCGTTCTCTCAAATTAGCTGTGACAAAAACCCCGTTTTCCTCCATAAGAATAACATGGGGTGGGAATTCAAAGGCCACTGGGGCAAAGCCCCAAGGGAATTCACCATGTTTCTCTTTTGATGGCTCATCTACAGACCAAGACCTTTCTTTAGACACCTTTACCGAGTTTCTACGCCCAGCCGTTCTCTCAAAATAGCTGTGACAAAGAAAAACAGTTTCAAATTAATATATAGATCCCAAATAAAACACATGTTTTATTTCCAGTCTTGAAACATCCCCCTCCTTAAAGATCGAGTCTCCTTGGGGGATGTACTTGACGCCCGTGTCTAGTCTTGTAACTTGAGTTGTCCTCTCGTGGTTTTGGACTTCTGGTACAGACACTTGTTGAATTTTGTTCTGTCACATTGTCTCTTGTTGGTGTACTTTTCAAGTCATTGGGAAATGGTAGAAGATGGAAACGGTTTTTTCTTAGGTCTCTTGTATCAGTCCTGACGATATATGATCGTGGCTCAGTTGCTGTTTTTACAACCGTTCCAGGTTTTCCCAAGTCAGATATCCAAACACTGTCTCCAGATTTCAAACTTCCAAGGGATTTGGCAGCATGCCTGGAGTCATTATTTCTCTTGTACTTTTCTGTGTAGTTCTTCGAAGTCGAAGGCACACTTCGGACAACTTGTAGAAGGTTAAGTTTTTCAATGGCTGTTTTACCTATGAGCGGTGTTTCACATTTTTCTGCTACATAGAAACGCTCGAAACAAGATTTGTTCTTATAGTCTAACTTTACATTTAGGTACCATCCCTTTTACAGCTAACTGAGTCCCATCCGGTCCTGAAAGTCTTTTACACGTATGTTGCAATGGAACTTTTTTGTTTAGCTTTATATTAGCTGGCAAAACTGAAACGTCTGCTCCGGTATCGATTTTAAACTTAATAATGTCAGAATCATTAAACCTGAGGTCAATTTCCCAAGATTCAGGGTTTAGAGCACTGTTTTCGGTAATTTGACCTATGAATTCTTCAGAATTTGATGAATTTGTACAATAATGATTAACAAACTGAGGTTCACTACTGACTTCATTTACCTTTTGCTTATAACAAACTTTAGCAAAGTGACCGTTTGCTTTACAGTTGTTACACCGAACATTTTTGGCAGGACACAAGCCTCGGCGATGGGATGGAGTATTCCCACACCATTTACATAGGTTCCCTGGATTGTATTTTCCATGGTTATTAGGAACAGTTTTCTTACAAAAATATTTTTTGGAAGTGGTGTTTAATTTTACCCGATCAACGGAGGGATCAGCTAGATCAAGTTTTTGCCTAACTAATGCCTCTGAACTACGAAGAGCATCAACTGCAGTTTCTAATTTTAGTGAGCTTTGTAACTGTAAGCGATCACTAAGGTTTTGATCATTCATTCCAACGATAAGCTGCATGAGAATCATTTCATCCCTTAAATCTCCCCAGTTGCATGGTTTTGCAAGAGCATGTAAGACTGTGATGAAGTTTTCAGCAGACTCTGAGGATCCCTGTTTTCGTCTAAGAAATTTAGCACGCTGATAAATTATGTTTGTTTTGGGAACGAAATTGTTTTAGAATTTTCCCATAATCAATTCATAATTTTCCAACTCATCAGGGCTTAGATTAAAGGAATCAAATATTTCCTCAGCCTTATCCCCCATACAGTAGCAAAGAATGTCAACTTGCCTTTTCCCAGGTGCTTTATGTAGATCGCTGACTGACCTGTACCTTTCAAAGTGTTTCTTCCACGAACTCCAATCATAGGGGTTGAAGGAAAAATTGTCTGGAGGCTTGACATGGATTTGATTTCTTTGAAGTCTTATCTCTTCAATTTCCTGTTGGATCTGTAGGTTTGCATCACGCTGCGCCATGTATCACGACCGTCTATAGTTTTCGTGACAATAATAATTATAATTAGGAATGAACTAAATTGATAACATTTTATTTGAACATGTCTTTTGTAAGAAGTCTATAACACTATTAACAATATTTGTTTACATCTGATCATAATATAATATCCTAAATAAAACACATGTTTTATTTCCAGTCTTGAAACTGACTATACTATAAGACCCCCGTGCGTAGAACGGGCACACAGCTAGTAACAAATAATATTGATCCATGCAAATAGGAATAAAAAAAACATTTTAATCAGCTGCTTTAACCAGCGAATACAGAATAATAACTTAATTCAATACTATAGAACGGGCATGAAAATTAAACAAGCTATACAAAATGTTGTGCTAATCTTTGGTTTGTCATAGAAGCGATGCAAGAATGGTGTAACGCCTCGGAATCGGCAAAAATTAGTAGTGTAGACGTTTTAAATTTACTCTGTATTTTGTCAACCTTAAAATATTGAGATCAAATAAATTTCGAAAATAGGTTGAGTGCTTGGAAATAACCCCTTCATACAAAGAGTATAGTAGGTAATTAATATTTGGTTGGTTATGTTTATTAATATTTAACTGGTGCACTGGCACTCACCATATTGCTGTAATTACTTTTAGTTCTATTTAACCCAGGTATAATTTACTATTTAAATTACATATTTCTTAACAGTTTAGTAGCCACGAAGGAGCAGAAAACAACAGTGGCACTGCAGCATCTCAAAGTCCAAAACCTCCTGCGTCTTGTGACAGTACCTTCCTTATACCCCGTCTAAAGCCAGTTTACACTTCCTACACCCCAGATTCTGCAAACAATGATTTTCAAAGCACAATGTGTGAATATTAAGTTTGTATTAAGCTAATATTGCAATTGAAACTTAAACACATCAATATTTTCCACTTCAATAAATAATTTTTAATGGAGACTTGCCCAATGAAAGTGCATAACAGGATTCTTATAGCTAAGATCAAAGGATTAAAGTACAATTAATTTTATCTCCATATCAGTAACCATAAACAACTATTTATTTTGTGTCTTGGGTTTTCTGATTAAAATTTGTTTGAGGTAGATATTGTAAAAATCTGTATAAGATGTATTATAAGATAAAATATTTATAGTAATTTCATTGAGTTGCAGTTAATTTCAACCTATCTTCTTATCTTACAGAAGGGGAGATGCCCACTTTTTAGATTTAATGCATTTTATATGGGTAAACATCGTGTTGCTTAGGTACCATTTAAGAAAGAACCCTTTTAGCTATGCATATCAAATTTTAACTACTTATTTGTATTGACATTTAAAACAAACTGTACTAATTTAAATATGTTCTACCAAAAAAATCATATTTTATCAAAATTTTTAAAATATATAATTTTTTTCACTATTTTACAAATATTAATTAATTTTATTGTTAATGTTTTTTTAAACATAGAAGCAAACTTTTAGTACACTTTGTGGGCCATGATGTCCTAAGTAACAGAAAAAAATTTGAAGTCAGTGGTATTTATAGTAGTCTGGAAAATGGTACCTAAACATTAAAAAACACAGTTTCGGAAAAACTCATTTAAAGTCAAGCCTAGGCCTACCCTATGCCACATTATTCCTCATCACAAACAGCACTATTATTATATACACATATGTTATGAAGAAAGAAAAACAAACAGAAAAAGATTTTTGTTGACTATTTAACCTAGCAACAACATTTATTCAGTGCAACCATTCAAAAAAATTAAATTTCTAACATTAAATTTAATTGACGCTAATTCAGCCCATTGTGACTAAAACCGAGTGTGTAGTACTATTTATATTATTTTTTATGATTGTTAGACTGTAGTAAATATATTAAAATTATATATTTTCTGAATCAGGAAAAGATGACGAATTTTTCAATGCAATAAACAAAAAATTAATTTTTTGACCGAAAAACTGGGCATCTCCCCGGAGAGAACATCAAGACTCAAAGTCCCTGGGTCTAATTAACAATGGTTAATTTTATGGTCTCTGAATTATCCATGAGTGGTGGGTATTACCATTGACTACCAGGGACGTATTTAAGTATCTGCCGCCTCTAGGCAACAAAGTTTGCCGCCGCCCCTCCCGCTCCCACTTTTCAACGCACTCCCCGACCTCACTAATATCATCACCCCAATGGCCAATACATGCCCTGTCAGCTGGTTTTGTGGAAAAAAATCGGTAATATTTCATGCTGCATCAACAAATTTAATAACTTTTCACCACACTTTGATGTTTTTAGCTGTTTTACATGCGTTAATTGGTGGCTGAAAGTTACGTTTTGCTGGCCATGCCAGCTGTCATCGTCATTTGGGGACCGAGCAGGTTCTTACATCCCTAGGGCCGCAAAATCAGCTGATCGCTTACTTTTTTTAAACATGAATGCATATTAAATACACAATCAGTATCCATAGCATACTGATTGATTGGTACAGTGGTAAGTATTTAGTTCACACTTTCCTTCTTGATTTTAACATAGCAAAAGAATCTTTCAGCTATAGTGCTGCCACTGCGTAGTGGTGTATGAAGTAAACAGAAGGGAGTGTTTTCTACGTTTGTCACTAGACATAGCGGCCGGCACGGCGACCCGCTCCCGCGGCGAGCGTGTCCGCCAGACCAATAGGGCAGCACGGACAACTCTACACAACTGTGTAATAAACTATTGTCGTTTGTTTGACTTGGATGCGTTCTGAAATAGTTGTATACTTAATCAAAATATTTGAAATGGCTATTTTGCCGTTCCCAAAATTATTTGTTAAAATTTTTTTAGATTAAAACTTCGTTTTTTTATTTTTTTACCCTCAAAATTTTGCCGCCCCTAAAATTTGCCGCCAGTCCGCCTATTCGGAAATATGTCCCTGTTGACTACAGTCAATGGTATGACTGTACCCTATTGTTTGTCTTATTTTCTGCCTGTCCAACAGGAATGTGTCCAATACAAGCTAATAATAGTCAGCGAACAGTGTTGAGGATTTAATCTATCTATTATCTATAAAAGAGGAACTATGCATGTACTAGCAGTTACCCACGAGCTTCATCCCGTTAGACTTCATAAGTATTAATAAAACTATTGATCGGTTAAGTTAAGCTGAAATAAACAAAACAGAATACAGTAATACAAACAAATAATCACACCTGATTTTAATAAGGTAGTAAATTGAAAGAATAACAAACAAATAAGTACAGCTGAGGTATTTTTAACATTACAGTAGACTCACTCTTATCCGGACTCCTCGGGACCGAGGCCAGTCCGGATAACGGGTTTTCCTGTTAAACCGACGTCCCCAAAATCTCATTAAAACGGACCGTTTAAATGCATACTCTATACAGTATTTGACTTAAAGTTAGGAGAACATTGTATTTAGACACGTAAAAACTGATCTCAAATCTTTCCCACGAGAGAACAGTCATTTCAGTACCACCCACTTCCTGCCGATCTAGTCTGGTTAAACCGATGTGCTGATAAAAATTATCCGGATAAAGAGATGTCACTTCTACCGAGTGTGGTCCGGTTAAACCAATGTCCGGTTAAAAGGTACTAACAGGTACTAAGAGGTAATACAACTGTGGTATTTTTAACATTAGGTATATGAAAAGTTCCCTTTAGAAAGAAATTACGACCTCAAAGTTAAATTTATGAAATAATGGATAGTTTTGCGCAAGGTTTCTCCTCATGACGAAAATTTTAAGTACATGGTTTATGGGGATGTGACTTGTAGTTTTCTCAAAAGTTGGGTACTTTGGGATTTATATATTGATGTATGTATTGTATAAATGTATGTACCTTATGGACTCCAAAACCGCTCAACAGATTGTAATGAAACTTCCAGGCATTATTAAGCATTATTCAAGGATGGTTTGCGTGAAGCTTGGTGCAGATCCGTAGGGCTCCGCCCCAGAGGGTTTTAAGGGGTCCAATGTCAAACTTTTGGAACTACAATGTTTACGAATAAATATAATTTAAAAGCAGATGTTTACTTTCATTAATAACTGTTGGTTTGAATAATCACAACATTCTGTATTAGTCATGATTTGGAATAGTGCCACAATGTTTCCACAGAATGCAGCACAGAAAACTATTTTAATTTTAGATAAGTCCATGGTGGAAGGAAAAAACATAGATGTGCTATTCCCACATATTCTGGCGTCACTCGGATTGCAAACAAAAGATCACCTGATTGTAACAGTCAAATTAGTACCTATATGTATTTGTTATGATTTGGTTGTTATTGTTTTTATTATTATTATATAAAAACAATATTTATTTTTATTATTATAAAAACAATAACAATCAAATCAAAACAAATACATACTAATTTGACAGTTATTTTATCCTAATACTTAACCTACTTCTGGGCTATCTAGGCCAACATAGGCCTACCGATATTAGGCCCTACCTTTTATAGGCCTAGCCTTTGATTGGTAAAGGTAAAGTAGGCTAACATCAGGCCTAGGCTTAAGTTTTTTTACGATTCCTATATTGAATCTTTAAATGTGTATTTCTAATAAACATCTTATTATTGGCCAGCACCTATATCTTTGATTGCTTATAACCTCTTTGGCTCCTGTTCAACTCTTTGCCTAAAGGCGGCCGTGCCCTTGGTCGCCATTAGCTGTATGGGCTATTAATTAACAGCTGTGTCTAAGGAAATATGTCGGCCTTAGTCACTAACAAGACTAAAAGATCGCGCCACGCATCGTACACTCATCATCATTCATACTTGACTTAAAATACCTACTTTGTAAGGTCGCCATTTCAAAGAAAAGTAAATAAGTATAAAAAAGTACCGTTACCGTTCCTAATACTAGGATATCTCAGTGGCGGCGATAAGAACTCGCGGGCCCCCCGCAAGTTTGTTCGCCGGGCCCCCCTCTCCCAATGATCTTTAAAAACATTTTCCCATGTATAACCGCCTAAACTTGCAATTTTGCAATAGACTTGACAAGGCATCTCCCCAGGCGTCATCATCGTATTCCATGATCGCGGCAAAATCGTAAATACTTCCCGTGGTCATAAGTCATGGAAGAAACATTATCATAGTTTACCGTGATTGCAAATGCAACCAAACCTATGACATCCATTAAATAGCAGCATCATCGTCTCCCGCGTTTACGGCCCAATCTAATATCACGGCCTAATAACTCCCCGCGACCCGTCGGTGGTGACCTAGGAGGATTAAACATTAAGGAGAGGGCACGCGAATAGGAATACACATGTTGCGGTGAAGCCAGCTTTAGCAGAACACTAGAGGGGCACGCGGAGCCGTAGAGTGGCAAAAAGCCTCGGCTATAACATGGGAGAGATAGGGAAAAACGCGACGCGCGCTATTTCGAATTAAAATTGCCGCTAAACTAAAACACCTGTGTTATTCACCGATGGCATTCTTAAAGTAAATTAAATTTCCTATCGAATGGTGTCAACAATTCCTATAAAAACTATTATTTATTATTTATTATTGAAGATCAAAGTTGAAAGAATTGGCCTGGACTTTGAACATAGGATTACTTTAATTACGTTTTTGAAAAAAATATGATGTATCTATACAAACTAACAATTTATTCGTGTTCCTTAATAGTTTCTCGAAATAAAAAATATATATTTACCTATATTTAAAAGTGGTATTTAGAAAAATAATTACAATAAAGTTTTTTTTTATTTTTCAGTTTATAAAACAATCTTACTAATTATAGGTTAAAATGAAAAATTTAATTCGGGTGGTGAAATACATTTTAAATTTGCATTTTTCATAGTTTTCTCGATTTGTTAATATAATTTTTACTAGTTTTAAGGCATTTATGTGCTAGGCAGGTGATTTTAAATAGCCAAAGTTAAGAAATAACGCAAAGCTGCTCTAACTTTTTTACACCAACAGCTGTTACAATTAAATTACAAACATAAAAAGTAAAAAAATTTCTTGGCAATCAAGTTCTTGATTTTTAAATATCATATTGAACTATATTTGATCTGTTTGCCCAAAGAAACTTCAAGTAAAAAGTGTAAATGTTCAACAATCATCGCGTCTTCTGACCGCCAAAGTGCGTTTATCATTCTTTTAAAGGATTAAAACTTATTTTATTTCTCTTTAAGAAAATGTTCAAATACACATACGAGTACTACTCATGATTTGAGTTTTAATTTATGAACAGTACAAGCCATTGGTGGTATGGCGGGATTTGAACCCGGGACCCCAGGAACCGGAGTCCCGCGCTCTGGTTAGAGTATTGTAAATAATACACAATATAAGTATGACAAAAAATAAAAACAAGGACAACGAATTCTAAAAAGCAAGTCATCCTTGTGTAAATTACTCACCTTTGAACGTACTATTGGTTCATAAATATGACTTTCCTCTTAATAGGTTCCTAATATTACGGTTAGAATTTAAATTTTTAATTTTCGTAGCATGATGAAGTCTAATTTTTAAATAGATAATTGATATTTCTGTTGCCAAATCTTCCAGTAACGCATACAACGCAGTGTGAGAGGGGTGCGGGAGAGTAGCGCTGCCTCCCCCCCACCCCACCAGTACGCTGGCTTCAACGAAACTACAGCGTGTCCTCTCCTTAATGTTTAATCCTCCTAGGTGGTGACGGGTAAATCATTTTTTCGTAATCGTGGCTAAATCCAAGATATATATCTCGCTAAAAAAGAAACTTCATTATCGTCTTCCACAATCGTGGTAAAATATTGAACATCTGCGGCCGCGGAGACATATAATGATCTCCCGGACAGTACCAATCTACAAAAAGGGTGACCCACAACTACAACTTTTAAATAGCTACAGGCCTATATCTATCACTCCCATTCTGAGCAAAGTAGTCGAAACCGTAATCAAGATCCCACTAACAGACTTTTTTGAACAAAATTTTATTTTCTCAGACAAACAACATGGTTTCAGATCAGGAAGATCTACTTCAACAGTTGTTAAAGATGTGGTGAGCTGCGTCTATGAGGCTTTTGAAAGTGTTGAAGCGGTTGCACTCACCCTGTGCGACTTGAGTAAAGCATTTGACTGTGTTTCTCACAAAATCCTGCTAGATAAACTCCATCATTATGGCATAAGAGGCACAGTCTTTGCTACACTCAGGTCTTACCTTGAGAACAGGCAACAATTTGTCACAGTGAAGGGAGTTAGCTCTAGTAAAAAGCTCATTGAGCATGGTGTCCCACAGGGCTCAGTACTTGGCCCCCTGTTCTTTCTTGTCATGATAAACGACCTTGGAAATGATATTAACTGCCTTTTATTTGCTGATGACACAACAATAATTTCTCGCAACAATGACATTCAGATGCTGCTCCAGGAGGCTGAAATCGACCTCAGTAAAGCCAGCACATGGTTGAGCGTAACAAACTAAGTCTAAACAAAGACAAGACTCAACAGCTCATCTGCTCCCTCGCGGGAGTTGAATTAGGAAATCAGCCAGTGAAACTGCTTGGATTCTATCTAGACAGCAAGCTCTCTTGGAATGATCATGTCAGCGTGGTGTGCAAGAAACTGTCAAGAGTAATCTTCCTGATCAGAAAACTGAAAAATTTGGTCACTTTGCAGTATCTTTTCGTCATCTATCACTTCCTGTTCCATACACACATCTCCTATGGACTGCTTTTGTGGGGGCACTCTGCAGCATGTGAGAGAGTCCTCCTGTACCAGAAGATGGTTTTGATGATTATGACAGGGGCTGAGTATAGGCAACACTGCAAACCTTTATTTCAAGAGCTTGGCATCCTGACAGTCTATGGGAACGTGTTGAGCTCCCTCCTCTACGTAAAAGAGAATTTAGCTGATTTTCAAATAAGAGGGCAGCTTCACGGTCACAATCTGAGAAACAACAACCTGATCTCTATTCCCAGATGCCGCACTTCTAAAGTGAAGGACAGTTTCCCACTACTGGCTTGTAAAATGTTTAATAGACTGCCTGAGAACATTAAGAACCTGGAGCCGAAACTGTTCAAAAAGAAGTTAATGTCGTGGTGTTGCCAACAGAGCTTTTATTCCTTGGAGGATTACTTCAAAGCCCAGTTAGTTTTTTAATATTTTTTATGCCGCCTGACACTCAAGTTAATTGATAATAATTATATGTCGAAGTATTTTTTAATTTTGTAAGTTTTATGATATTTGTATCATTACTGACGCGACCCATCCAGAAATGGTCAACGGTCAAGAGGATGGTAATTATATGGTAATTATAGTCATCGTCACCCACGGGGAAATGTTCTTGTCGATATCTGCGATCGCGGCAAAAGCGTATCCTAATCTTTCAATTTCATGAGCGTGATCCTGACGGATATAAAAGCTTTTTACCTTTAATTGTGCATTATTGTATTGAGTACTGAGAAAATCGGCTCGAGCTTGATTTTCTGACTTTGTGCTTGATCTCTCAAGCTTGTAGTCCAGGCTCTGCTCGGCTCGTAAATTGACATTATAGGCCTATTATAAAAATCAACCGTTTCCAAAACAACCCGATATTGAACCGATCTGATTTGGCCTGAGGCCCTTAGAAACATTTTTAGTGCGTTCAAGATCGGTTTGCTTTGGAAACGGTTGATTTTTATAATAGGCCTAGTCAATTTTCGAGCCGATCAGAGCTTGGACTACAAGTTTGAGAGATCAAGCACAAAGTCAGAAAATCAAGCTCGAGACGATTTTCTCAATATTCAATACATTAATGCACAATTAAAAGTAAAAGCTTTTATATCCGTGAGGATCACGCTCACAAAATTGAAAGATTAGGGCTACGCTTTTGCCGCGATCGCGGATATCGACGAGAACATTTCCCCGCGGGTGACGATGACAGAGGCCACATTATAATGTTATAATACGGCCCTATTATTATGCAACCAATTTTGACTGCGCCTTCACACAATCCACGAGGACAGATGCAACCCGCATGACTGATGACAATTCTTTTACTTAGGTTGGTAGATAATTTATATCGATCGGTCAAGTAATAGTGTTAGTTTAGTTTAGTTGTTGTAAACTACTTGAACTATAGGGTTGAACGAATTTTCATCATAATAAAGCGTAGCCTATTTTAATTCTCATATAAATATTGTTATGATAGGGGACCCGTGTGGCTGAGCCTGTCACACTATCGCGGGCCCGTGTGCCGGTAAAATTTACCGAAAATCCCGGTCAAGGCTCACGGGCCACCGCGGGCCCACTATCGCCGCCACTGGGATATCTTTGTGTGCAACCTGTTCCCAAACAGCTATAACAGTTACTAGATTAGGAACGTAATGTGACGTCATTTGGAGCAGACGTGCGAATAGCCTCTGCCTTGTTTGTATATTACCATTAGAAGAATAGCTCAAAGTTAAAGCTTGTGTTGGTTAGTCTATGGTTAAAGTGATGGGCTTAAGCCGGGTTTTCCTAGGCGCGGAGTCGGCTGGCGGAGAGAGGAACGCGGAGAGCGGACTCCACTTGTCTTAGGCAATTTAATGTTACTGTTTTCCTAGAAGCGGAGCGGAATGCCATGTTAATTTCAATTCCACTCTCCGCGTTCCTCTCTCCGCTCGCCGACTACGCGCCTAGGAAATCCCGGCTTTAGGAAAAAGATAAGCACTTTTCTATGTTAGGAGTTTTAATGGATCGTGATTTGTTAAGTCATAGCTACGTATAATGTACAATACGGCTTCAAATATGTCTATTAAAATATGTGAACTAATTAGTTTTAACGTGTATACACGTTTTATTAAGGTATAATTTACATTATATAAATGTAAAAACATCATTTCGCACCGTATTGTCATTGAATTGCGTTTTCGACATCCCTGCAAAACACGTTTGTGGCGTCCGCAGGCGTACCACAACACCCTAACCACATCTATTACAATATTATCATCCGATTTACGTTACGTAACGTTTGTTTTGAATAGTATCTACCTCTCATAACTTAAATAATAGCAATATCAAAACCATAATTAATAATTTTCTTTCTGTAATTTTAAGTTCGTTGTTCGTTCGTAGTTGTTAAAAGGTTAAATAACCTACTTTTGAAGAAAGATAAGTAGGCCTAACTTACGCTAACTTAATATTTCTTGATTCGATTCGAAATGTCGAAATATTTATTGTCTCACAAGTGCCAGAGTTTTATTAGAAGATTCTCGTCCTTGCCGGCACCAAACACGTCCCCTAAAGTTAACTCCACTGGGGTAAGTAAACTTTTTAGACATTAAGTCCTTGAAGCAAAATAAAAACGTGAGCTTTAAATCCTGCATTCTGTGTGAAGATGTGTCAAATCAAAGTATCAGTATGCTACTTAACTTAAGCTAGGCCGGAAATTATTGCGATGAGGGTGACCAAGAGCTCTATAGTAATTTATATATAATTAGAAACTAGATTATTACCTGAAAATAATGGTGCAAAAATTGTTCTGCTGCCACAAAAACTGAATTTACTACGACTTTTTGATGTTTATTACTGTAGCCTAATGCCTCTTGTTGGCTGGTCTCTGTCGCCATTACTGTGAATTGACTGACGGCTGCACTGTTTTTAAGGTCCTACACTCATTCGAATGAAAATATTGAACGATATACTGTATCGATTAATCGATTGTTTTCATTCGATATATCGTTTGGATAGTTAGGTAAGGTTAACCTAACCTAACTAACCAAACAATATATCGAATGAAACAATCGAACAATCGATATTTTCAATCGAATGAGTGTAGGACCTAAAGGGTCATTCCATTGTAACGGGTGTTACACTTCGGACAATTTTATTGTAAATTGCTTGGAAAAAGAAAAACTGACCTATAAACATTGATGTTATTTAAAAAGTGTTCTTTATTCTTCATCAGTTTATTTGGTAAAAAATGTTTTTTCCTTTCCAGTTTTGAAATTCTAAAGGAAATAGAGGTGTAACGGGTGTTACTGAAAATGGACCTGTCATTGAACCCTTTTGTAAATTATCTTACAACTCTGTGAATTTAGAAAGAATAAAATTATTTAAAAAATAGGAGTTACTCCCAAATAAATGCATAATGAAACTGTTATTTATACAGTTATTGGCATTAAATGTTCTTATATACTAAATAAAATCATAAGTAACGGGTGTTACATGGAAATGTAACGGGTGTTACGTAGTTGCTAAAAGTAAGACTTTTAACTTAAATTAATCAGTAATAAGGTATAAAAAATACAATAATTAAAAAGGATAATTTTTTAATCACACCAAAACAAAAAATTATATTTATTAATAAAAAATGGCACTAAAATACAATAAGTTGAGGCATATTCGCTCACAATAAGAAGGCGGACCGATATAAAAAATATAAGTTATGCATAATAAATGATAGAATAAAGTAAAATATATTATTGTTTAAAATGCCATAAAGTAGGTAAGCCATACTTAAAATTATAGACCTAAGTTATAAGAGCAAAAGTGCAAGATTCCCAGTAAAGTTCAGATGTTCTTTTCATGTAAGGTTACAGGCCCCGGAAACTGGTAGTATAGTCGGTTGCCTTGTGGTTCCAGCTCTGGTTCAGGTAGTTTACATATAGTTTGACTGAACTTAATGAATGATACAGCTTCATCACTTGGTCTAAATGTTGTATTGTCTTTAGACATGGATCTAAAGAATAAGACTTTCACCTCATCTTCTTCATCCACTTCACTTTTCATGCGCTCCTTTGCTGGAGCCATGATCTAAAAAAAAATAAAAAAAAAAATAAATTAAAATTAGAATTTGGAATAAAACTGTAATTATCAATCAATGTAGGCTACAATATACAGTCTTGAAAAATAGCCTAAAAAGGCTGTAGGCTATTAGTTTTGACATATGCGCTTTACAGACGATGTTTAAACAAACATTATGAAATAGATTGCAATGAATTCATGATTCACATCTCATTGAAAACTGTAGGCCTAGCTTACTGTAGGCCTAAAATTAAACAGGCAGGCTAAATATATTCAAGCCTACTGGTACTTCTAAGATAACCTCAAAGTTTTTTTTTTTATTTTTTCAAAGTCGTATTCTAGCCTTTCCCTTTGTAGTCACCAAATGCATTAAAAAAATTTAAATATTTCTTTTTATTGAAAATTTAGGCACTCTTGGAAACTAAGATGTAATGTGCACATGGTGTATTTTAAATAGAAAGAAGGAATGGTTACTTAGGACTGAAAGTTAACACTGTAACACCCGTTGCGTATGATGCTGTGACGGGTGTTACAAAACCTGTTACGATAAAAACACACATAAAATATGGATTAAAAAATAAAATGAGTAAACCATCCTTCAAAACTGTAATGTAACCTCACTTTCCCAGAAGGATTTATTTCAATTAAAATCTGAGTACTTGTCCCATAAACTTTCTAATTTTTTTTTTGTAACGGGTGTTACAATGTTGCGACCCCCATTTAAATAATTAATTAAATATAATAGGAATCGAACTTACCTCAAGAATAGTATATGTTCTTGTAGCAAAAGCTTCCTTCTATTTCCCTCCAAAATGCATTGAAGTGTCAGATGAAGAGCAAACAATGAAACAGGCTGCCAATAAACACCAAAATCCCAACATTTCCCTTTGGGCAAACATCAGCTACAAAATAGTCCAGTAAATAAAAATTGACCATAACAAATTTTTTTAATATCCCACAAGAAACTTTAACATTTTTTATAACAAATTCGCCAAAAACAATAATTAAAAAAAAAATATTTTTTCCCCTGTCAGGCTCAGTTGGTATGGGATGACCCTAAAGTAAAGTGCAGCCGTTAACAAGAAGAACAGAAAGGAATATTTATTTTTTGCAATATTATGAATTTCAGATTTACAATGATCAGCTGTAGTTTTTAATATTAAATGTGAAGGCTAAGTTTATAGTAGGAAAAATTATCTAAAAGAACTGAAGATACTCCCGGCCTTGAAGTGTCCTCACTTCAACAGTTAGTTTAGAATAAAACACATTAACACAGTTTGTCGTAGGCTGGCTATAGCAGCTGGTTGCTTTTTTCTACTTCTGCTTTTCAACTTAAGCCATCTTTGCTGGGGATACAACTTAAATACGTTTGCTGGAGACCGCTGAAGTCCTAATACGTTGAAATTATGATCATCAGAGTTTTGAAGACCCTTTGGAGTTTCATTATGAGACTGAAGAATATAAGTTAACAACAAGTCTTTAGAGTTCATAACACATTTCTTCAATTCAAAGAATTCTTGTTTTAATAATTCAACGAGTTGTGATTGGAAGGTGAGCACTTTTTCTGTAGTTTGGGATGAAGAGTAGCCATTGGGCAGAGCTTCATCGAAAGATGCAACCACTTGACTGGATTGCTTGACTGTCTTTACTGTAGTGGTTTCACTCTCGGTTGTGTTAGTGGCGGCACTGTCTGTTGGTTTAACAGCAACAAGATCGGTAGAATGGGTGGTATCATTATCGGTAGGATGGATAATAGTACTGTCTCTTGGGATGACAGCAATGTTGGTAGGTTGGATGGCAGCACTATCACTTGTCAAGGTAGTTGAGCTCACTGTTGTATCTGTATTCGTTGGTTGATCAATACTGTCACTTGTCAAGGTAGTTGAGCTCACTGATGTAGGCTATCTGTATTCGTTGGTTGAGGTTTTGTCACTGTCTTTGTGGTATTTATAATCATCGTGTTTGAGAACTTAGGTATTGTGATTGTCACTGGCCTCTTTATTGCGATGAGTTTTGTTCCAGGTTGTATAATGTCGTTGCCTTTGATTTGAAACTGACTTGATGAGTTCGATTTGATTATATGCACTGCAGTATTTCTATGAGGTTGAGCTGAACTGCAATTAACCTTGGCCAAATAAGGGTTAGAACCAATTTTTGAAAGCAGCACTTTAATGTAGCTGGTGATGTGGATGAATAGTTCACTGATTTGGTCTTCATCTTCAGCTAAAGTTTCAATGTTCAAATCATCTTCACTTGAAGTACTTACAATTCGATAAAAATAAGAATCAAAGTCTTCTTTCTTATTCTGGGTTTCTTGCATTGAGAGTCTTTAAGGCTTCCTGTTGCACAACTGTTAATGACTCTTGTTGTTCAACAAGTTGATGTACGATGTTTCTTATTTTGTTGAGACGAGTTTTAATAAAAGATGTGAGTCGTGTATAAGTTTCAATTTTAAAACCACTATTTGGAGATGCCATTGTACAAAGATGAGATAAATGTAAAAAAATCACTAAGTGTAAATGAGTGTGTTAAGAGTTCCAATGTGGAAATAAGAGTTCAAATGGGTAAGAGTTCAGAGGCACAGAAAAAAATAGGTAAAATGAGGAAATATTAATATAATACCCCCGCCGCAGCAAACCTGCAGACTTAGCGAATTTCCATCTGCCAGATTAGATTTAAACTAAATTGTCTCCTTAAAAATATCACATTTATTCCCTATTTAAACAGAATTAGTTTAATGAGTACTTAGGTTTGCTGCAACAGGGAGGGTAAAAAAGTTTTTTTTAATGTAAAATATTAAAAGGTACTATGGTTTGGTAAGAAATTAATGTATTTTCCAAATTTGATCAAAATATGTTCATAAACAAGCAAACTACAACAGTTGACTTATTCTCCATAAGAATAACATGGAAATTTTAAAATTACAATTTTTTTAAATTTTCTCCGTAACAATTAGGCGCATAATAACGCTTCAATATACTAAATTATTTGTTTTTTTAAGCTCTACAAAATGGTTTAAAAAGAAATTGTGAAATTTTGTGTTTTTAGGGTCAAAAATGGGAAAAACCTATTTTTACCCCATAAAACCCCCCATAAACCCCCGTTCCCATAGTCCGATCATGCTGGTTCGCGAACTCATTCAAGTTTATCCTGCCTTACACCTTCAAACCAAATTTTATTAAAATCGGACAAAAATTACTCAAGTTATCGTGCGGATGGACACATATATATATATATATATATATATATATATATATATATATATCTCTATATATAGATATATAAAAATTTGAACGAATGGTGTTTTTGGCCTCTGGGGACATCAAAATGAAAAAGTAAATCGGTCCCGGGCTTAGGTCTTACCATGAGACCTACGGTAATAGCTACTTCCCTATAGGGAAATTCGCTAAAAAGAGTTCTAGTTTGGTTGAGTGTAATTCCAAATCGCTTAACCCTCCGAGTGTCCATAGTTTAGGCCTTAATGTCCGCCTATTTTTGGCGCATTTGCAAGGTT